TACAGAAACAAACTTTCTATTTCTCCCTCATCTCAGGAATCAATCCGTACTTCAGGCGATGCTTAACTGATGATAGCTTTAACTGTTCGTTCTCAGGAGGGTAAGTTAGCTCCATCTACAGCATAAAGAACTGCAGTGCTGAAGAGTGGAAAGTTGAGCTGAACCCAAATAATGAACGAGGGTGTGGCAACAGAATTACTTGCGTTGGTTCTAAGCGTCCACCTTTTACAAGCTTTCCCAGGGCACTGATCCTCACCTCCACTTTCAGAAATTAAGGCACAGTCATGGGTAATCTCAAGGTAGTCCTTTATCTCCACCCACCAAAACATTCACCTTGAAACGAAAGCATTTTACAAACAATACAATGTTGACACCACTTAGTTTTGCTCTGCATTAAAAGAAAGAGTAAAATATGGGGAGGAGTATTACAGTCACATGGGAATTATGCAGAACCTTACAGCATACACTGCAGAAGTTAAAACCCTGGAGCTGAATTCCTGATGTTTCCAGACAGACAGGCTACGGGGACAAACCACATCTTTGTTAAATATAGAAAAGTTTCACGGGGAAGAGGTGAGGTTTAATTTGCCAGATTGTGATGTAGCACTGGTTTGTACACATGCTCAAAGGAAATTCTCCTAGTACAAAGCCATCTAAAAAACAGAGACCGCACAAAACCTAGCTACTAAAATGAAGATTTGGTGTATTAAAAAAAACAAACAAACAAAAACCAAAAAAAAAATCTATTTCCCAAAAATCACTTTACAGATAAAGGCTTCCACTGCCTACGTGAGTTTAGTAGAATAATAACCCAAAATATGTGCTATGAAATTCACAGATACAGTTATGTTAAAAAAACAAACGGATGTCAGGTCTTATACACATCAGCTTCCCCATCCAGAGTTTACTCGGCCTGCTCATCCTCTTGTGCAGCAGCTGCTTCTTGGCTTTCTTCTTCTTCACCTTCTACCAGTTGCTGCTCTTCTTCCTCAGGGAGAGATTCCTCTGCAGCTTGTGAAGTCTGCTCCTCTGCGTCTTCTGCATCCAGCTCCACTGGTGTTTGTGCTTCTGGCTGTGCCTCTACCTCTGTCTCTGTCCCTGTCTCCTCTTGCTCCCCCTCATTTTCAGCTCCTTCTGCCTCTGGGTTCTCTTCATTATCCTTGTTTTCATCATCTAGATTTTCTTCCTCTTGATTTTCTTCATCATCCTTGTTTTCATCAGCCCCTTCAGTTGTTCCTTCCTCCGCATTTCCACTGGCTCCCCCCTCTCCTTCCTCGTGCTCCTCTTTTTCTTCTGGGTCATCTGTGAAGGGATTCTCACCCTGCAAGAGAAGATAAACATTTGCTTGTTGAGTCTATCTCTAGTTGCTGCTAGCTTTGCATCTTCACACTTGAGGAATTCACAGTAGGTACATGGCAGCTACATGTAAACCCTCTCAAGAAGTTTAGCTTTATTACTACTCAGTGGACCAGAATATAGCGGTATCAAACCCAGGAGGTTGTCGGTCCTTTTGAACGCTGGCAACTGCAGGCCAAGTTCTACCTATGTACACGTGTTGAACACTGCTTTAGCCAGTCTCCTACCCAGATGATCGATGCAACTCGTAACACCTGCTCACAGCAGCCTCCTGCTTCGGCACCAAAAGCAGTCAAGGGAGCAGCTTTTGGAAGCAGATGCTACCTTGAGAATTCAAATCAAGGCTCATATTAACAGCAACTGCTACAGCACAAGATGGAGGGTCAGGGCCTCTAGCCAAGCCTTCCTCCTTTAAAGCGGAGGCCTTGTCCATCCTGCTCGCTCAGATTAGGAGTAACATGGGACAGGAGATGACAGATGAAGTCACCTAGCACTGTAGAGACTTGATGATCAACAACTCAACAGCAATCAGGAATCCAACATGTTATCGAAACACTGCAAGTTACCTTGAGGTTCAGCTAACGACCTCCGTAGTTAAGAGCAACTAGTGCTGCAACCCACTTGACCCAATACCAAGCTGCTCTGCAGACACCTACCTTCAGGTAGCGTTCCAGTTTCTTACTGATTAGTTTGTTGTTCAGAATACTCCTTGCAACTACTAGCGACGATTTCTTGGACTGCTCCATCATGGCCTATATGGGAGTATGAAAGAAACATACTTAGATTTTGTCCTGAATTAACTTACCCGTCCAGTAATTAGAGCCATATGTCTCAGCAGCTGAAGAGAGGCTACAGTGGCACCTGCACAGAGCACACAAAGGCACTCAGGTAAGCGGCAAGTTAGCACATTTAAGAAATCTGCAGTCTTCTGCATGTTCCTGGATTCTGTGCTGGCCACACAAAGCTTTAGAAAGGTGAATAACAGAGATCCCAGCAGGGACACATGGTTTGTTTTACCCAGTTCCACAAATGCGATTAAATAATCTTGCAGTCTCTGGGCACTGAAATTTAAAAGCAGCTTGTACACTCTGATCGTGCTGACATGTAAAGACCAAAGGAAGCCGAACAGTAACACATATGGCAACACAGTCTGTTCAACGTTGCTGCAGTAATGCAGCACTAAGATCTAGATGCCAATATATGTACTTGATAACTAAAAAGACCTGTTGCCTCTAGGTGACTGAACAGCAGAAAGCCATCAGCTTGCATCACTGCTTATGACAATAGTAAAGCTTATAGGTACACATGAATGATTTTGTTTTAAGTGGGAAAGTTGACATAAATGCTTATGACAACTGCTTATGAATGATTTTGTTTTAAGTGGGAAAGCCAGAATATTAGGAGACAGCTATTGCAGGGAACAGTGCAAGAGACACGAGATCTAATTTTCAGATTGGGACCAACAGCAGAGGCTTTGCTGAAGTTGCTCAAATCCTGCTGACACCTTGTTGGCCAGCTTCTGCACAGGTGAAGCTTCTCAGGACGCAGGAGCAGTCAAAAGTTAACCACAGTGGAGTCTCTCAGTGGAGAGCACCTCTGAAGCACAGAGGATAATTAAAAAAAATTCTTCCTGATTTCAGGTCTCACTGTCCCATGAAGCATATGAACTAAGAACCTCAAAATTACTGCTCTCGCTATTGCGGCCAAATCCTACAAAGCCACGGAAATGGGATTCCCATCATAAGGGAAAGGTTGCGTGTGTTTGTTCAATCAGGCAGAGTGCTCCCAGGCTGCGTACTCACCCTGCGGTTGTGGTTATGGTCAAGGGACTTCAGGTGTTTCTGGATGATGCCATACTGCATTGGGATAAAGAGGTCACAAGCAGCACAGTGAGCAGCCTCAACCTTCTTAATAAAATGCTCCATGCCAACATCTGAAAAGGAAGATAAGAGCGGTGTTAACCGGAATGTAATTCAGGGAACTATGCTGCGTTGCAGAGTTTATTGCAGCCTGCACTACAACAAACTCCTCTTCAACTCTTCCACCTGCATCAAAACAGTTTTCACAGGGCACAGGACAGGAGCAAAGGGAAATGCGCATTACAGACACATTAACAAAATGCTCGTGGCCCAGATATAAGCCTGGCTGCACACTGCAAAGATGAGCAATGCAAGCTGCAGCTGCATCAGCACTGCGGATATGCAAAAAGAAGAAAAAAAAGAAAAGAAAAAAACATCTCTTCAGCCAGCTAATCATCTAGCAAGCTTCAAAGCCAGGTAATAACCTGAAGTGGCTGACAATGCACTTGGATGTACACTAGATTTTCCTCTTCAGCAATGCACCAGCAGGTTCCTGCAGGCTCACCTCCTTCTGTTTATACTATTTAGATAGTAGAACTTTTTTGACCAGGCAGCCGTTACGCATTACAAAAAACGGTCTTACTCGTACATGGGTAGCAGCTCTTACCTTGTGTAAGATCTTGGTCCCTATAAATCTGTTGAATGACTGCATTAATGGCTTCAATTGCTTTACGACTCTCTTCAGTTTTCCTAGTTTTGTTAGCAACGTATTCCTGTACGGCAGAAGATTTGTTATGAACCTTCTTCCCCCCTCCCACTCTCAATATGAACACGTTAGACAGATGCACCTGAAGGTCCTGCAAAGCCCAACATGCATTTGACTGCAGGTAACTCTGCCACTCCACTGAGCGCTTTAGTCACTCGTTCCAGGCACAAAGTCTACGGTAGGCAGATATTCTTTTTATTTCCTGCCATTATGACCAGTAAGACCACAGAGGTTAAGTGACTTGTTGGAAGGAAGAGGGCAGCTACAGCAGAGCTGGAAGAGCAGCTCTAATGCTTTAGCACCCAACTTTACTCCACCTTTTCTAGTAGTTGCCCATCCAGTTATTTAGAGGGGCACTTCAGGGGCTTTACAGCATCTCCATAAATGGATAAATAAAACTAAGAGAAAAGAGCTCTTAAAGAAAAGTCACATGGAATAGGACTACACTGCAATAATCTAGAGGACAAACTTCAGGTTAAGACGCTCACCTGGAGGAAGTCAGCTGTTTGTTGAGGCAGTTTGGTCCCAACAAACTTGAAGTGTTCCTTATGGAATTTGCTCTCCAGGTGACTGTTCATCTCATCATCGTAGAAGGTCCGGTATTTGCATAACGAACAAACAAACTGGATCCTGTTGAGACAGTTGGATGTGAACAGACATGATTTTCAAACCAAACCATTCCGGCTCCCTGCTCTACAGGTACCACTTTCTTACTCACTAAATCTACTCCTTTGGTCTGTAGTTAAGGGGTGACAGATAAACCACTACTCAGAGGTCTCCAACCCTTCAAGCATTTGTGGAACACTTTCTAGAGACTTTCCCATCTTTATCTATCTGCTCTTTTAAGCGTGGACAGACGCAGATGGACTACCAAGACTAGTCTCAACGACGGCACAACAAACGTTACAGCCAAGATTGGCAGGAGAGCACAGCAGCTCATCCAAGGAATAGACAAAGCAGCAGGACAACCAGGAACAGAAAAAAGGGCCTAGGCTGTGGCTACTATAGTCCTCCCCAGAGAAGGGAGCATGCATCATCACTTTAAAAAGAAGGGGAGACATTACCTTTCTACCATGCGATCCCGATGCCTCTTCTTTTGCCTCTCTTGAGTTTTCTTGCCCGCCTGCAATTTGCGTTTGATTTGACTGATCTCTTCTTGAATTGTTAAAGCACCTAAGTGTTTAAAATGTTGTATTTCAGGGCACTACTTGAGGCCACCACCTGATTAAAGAGAATTTCCCTAAACAAGTTTAGTAGTCAGCCTGACCAACCTGCACAATCTAGAAATACCTCAGATTCAAGAATCAACATTAGAAGAAGCTGCTCCCTTGCAGTTCTGGCCAATTAAAGATTCACCTCTGATTTCTATGACAGTGCCACCCATCCCCAACTTAGCTTTCCAGAAAACCTGCACTGGGATGACTGGTGGGGGAAAGATGGTGGGACCACAGGAGAAAATACATTGAACGTGGCTTCCCAGACCTTTATTTTATTTTGTGTTCACCGCTTCTTGTTTTAGACGGTTTTAAGTTAATTCGTTACAGGTTTGATTTTAAGACATACCCACTCTGATCTGTTTGCCCTCAAAATAAAAACCGGCAATGAATTAAGAAAGCTCAGATGAGGGGAACGAATTTACACCACTGTTATTTTCAAGGCAGAGAAGCAGCTTCTCTGCCTGCCTGCTGTGACACACGTGCAGGCATGCCCCAGTATCACTGCAGTCTCAAATTTACACTCCCCATCAGTGTGATGGGCAGCACGGACTCACTACACATTGTGTAGGCAGAGAAAGGTGGCAAAGAAACCTAAGTACCCTCTCCCTACCTGCTGCTCTAAGCTGTCCCTGGATATCACAGCGCTTCCGCTGTGCTGTCTGAGCACGGTAACAGCCGGTTGCACCCGTGAAGCAGCTGAACAACTTACCCCAAAATCAAGTCTACGGCACAGCAGGAAATTGAATCTGGTTCCCTAAGCGCCCCAGGGTTGTAGCTTCACCAAAGGGCCAACCTACCTCGACCAAGGGATCCAGCTTCTCCCTAGCAGGGCTTTTACAGCATTTCCTTATCCCTGAGCAGACACAAAGGATGGGATTCACCTGACTGAACGCAGACATTACGGCTGAGCTAGTCCCCCGCTGCAGTCAGGAGAGATCTGAGAGGTCTCATCCTGAGGAGCAGGTCAGTCATGCCCCAGAAGGGCCCCATTTTTCTCCACTGGCTGCACCTGAGCCTCACAAATATTTGCCAGCACTAGCTGAGAGCCTGGCCAGCCCTGCCCGTGCTCACTTGTAGCGCCCCTCCTCTGGTATCTAGCACAGCACCAGACCAGCGTCCCCAGGGGACTTTGGGGCACGTGCAGAAGCCAAAGTGTCCTTTGACATGAAGGTGTGGAGGTTTAGCTCAGGTCACCGAGGCACAACAAGCCAAAAGAGGACAGCAAAGCCACAAGGCAAGTGGCTTCTTTAAGGACTGAAGGAGCCTGAATAAACCCATCACATTTAACCGTTAAATCTCTTCTGGCTGTGTCAGAGTCCTCAGTTGGAGGTGGGTTATGCTCCGTGCAGAGCTTCAGAGCACAAACAAGCCCTCTGCTCTCTTTTCTGTGAGCCGTCACACACAAGCACACCAACTCACCTTTCTCAGAATCTTTTCCTTCTTCATCTTCCCCCTCCTAAAATGCAACGTCGGTAAGTTAAGACCATCTAGAGTCACGCGCTAGCCTATAGAAAATGAACACCTGTAGGCTAGTTTGACATCTTCACCGGCATGCTGCTTCTTAACCCCTCCCCAGACACTCATGCCGCTGCACAACACCTCCATCAGAACCAAGCTCTCCAGCCGCTGCATAGAGTGAGGCAACATAATCCCACGCTTCAGTTCTCTACGCTGTGTCTTTCCAACGCAGCCATTTTGATTTGTTTTTCCTTGCCACTTACAGCTTTTTGGACGTATCTTACAGTATTTTTAACAGTGTACTGTTTGGGTGTCTTGCAGTGACACCCAAACGCTGCACCTGATGGGTGTAGTCAGGGAGCCCCTGTAACGGCCACGCTTCCCTCAACGGAAGTATTTTGCCGCCATCCACTCCCCCACTGAGGCTCTGCCACACTACTAGCTCCAGCACTGCTCCACCTCCACGCAGAACTACAGCTTCATCGTGAGAAAGTGCAAGTTTTCAGGAGTTACTTACACCTCTGGAGCCCTCTTTCTCCTCTTTTTCTCCCGATTCTCCTTCAGTTCCCTCCTCTGAAAGGAACAGCACAGTCAGCAGTCCAGCCGAGATCAACATTAGCAGATTTATCACCACATTAAACTTGCAACAAAGCAAGACGACTCTGCCAGAAATAAAGACTGGCAGTGTTATATCACTAGGGAGACGGTCACGAAGCAGCCTCGTTCTTACCGTTGTCAGAATCAGAGTTATCAGAGCCATCGGTTTTTGCTGCCTTGCTGTCCGGTTCATCCGAGCTGTTTGTTTGCTTTCGCTTCTTAGTGGTAGGGTCCTTTTTGATTTTCTTTTTCTGCATCTGCGAGAGAGGAGAAAGGTTAATCCTTGCAATAGCAGCAGATGCCCCCCTCAGCCAGCAGCAACTCATTTGTCTGATTTCTATTGAGTTAAGCTCCTTGCACGTACAGGTACGTTTCTGACAGGCAAAGCTGGTCACGCAAGACCGTCTACCAGGTCCACGTCTGTCCTATAACATACCACATTGCACCACAGAAGACTGTAATATTTTCCTACCTTAAAGGAAACAAAGTTTTTTTTTGATTAAAACATCCCACATATGAATACCACTCTGCAATTGAGCGTGGCCTCCTTAGTCTCCTTCAGAGAAAACACACCACGACGTCAAGCCAGGAACGAACTGAACTACATATTACCACTTCCCAGCGTGTACTTTGCAGCCCTTTGTGGCAGGACACGTGGGTCTGTTGGGAAACACTTAGTCTCTATTCAAGCTGAACGGGTGGGAGGGTACTGCACGAGTACTTACTTTAAAGTCTGAGTCCCATATTTTCCAGTTTCTCCTCATTCGTTGTTTCATCATGCCTCCTCCAAAGCGCATGTTTCCAGAGAAACCTCGCATTCCCTGGAACATGCTGAGTTCGGGGATAATGTTGTGGGAGAAGAGGGATGGGAGCCTAGAGGAGCCGTGGGGGCCAAGGCCCCGCCCTCCCATCGACTGTGGCGGCTCATTCCACTGTCCGCCCATGCGCCCGGAATACGAAGATGCCATGGGTCTGTTATTTCGCCCGTCTCTGGCCCAGTTCTGACCCCGCTGGCCAAAGTTGTCCCGTGCTCTGTTCTGGTACTGGTCCCTGCGGTTCCCATAGAAGCTGTCATAGTGACCTTCATAGGCATTGTCGTTGTCATGTTCAGCCTCACTGTAATCATAGCCGGATCTGTACAGATCACGGTCGTTCAGTGAAGACCTTGAGTCGTAGGACTCATATGAATCATACCTGCAAGAGTGGCACAGCAAGCAAGGAATCCAGTCAGTAGCATATCAGGTACCACGTTAGAGCCTGCCGAGAAACGGCAGCAGAGGTTAAGCAAACAAAACCCTCCAAAACAGAACTGTTAGGGATTTTTTTTTCCTTTTAAAAAAAAAAACAAACTCAAGAGGTTGCACTCAACATGGGAGTATTTTTCCTAATGCAGAGGAGAGGGGTTGGGACAGGGCACAGGCCAACAAAGGGGAGCTTGGCAGTGACAGAGCTGCAAGGATTCAGTTCCACCTCTATATATTGCAAAAGGACCAGAGATCTTCAGACACGGGAAAACCAAAGAGACATCTGCTGCCAGAGAGCTTCTCAAACCATGCATTTCTTTGAGAATTACCAAGATGCACCCTTTTGGTTTTAAAAGAACAGGGAGTTGCCAAGCTGAACAAAGGCTCCTTCATCAGTTCAGGTTGGGGATTATCAGCTGTGCAGAGACACAGACTGAAAGCATTTGTCCCCCCTTCCCAGGCATCTGCTTCAAATGGAGCATTAGGAGAAGCTAAAGTGAAATGAAGACTTAGTTGGCCACGCGATGAGTTCTACTTCCTGCCCAACTCTGTCCAGAAATACTTCCAGGAACAGGGCGGTTTGGTCCTCAACTACTAAGGGACTACTTTGGCATAATCAGAGACTTATGGTTACAGACCCTATCCTTCCCCGCTCCTGCAGACATACGTGCCCTCTAAGAAACTTTTTCTAGAGGGAAAGGCAACATACACAGATAGTTTGGACAGTTTTTATCAAGTTTTTTTTCTCCAGGGAAGAAGGCTAGGGAGGAGTTTTAGCTTTATGTTCCTCAGCAAGCAACTGTGGCATGTACTTTGCACTAGAGCTTAAAGGAAAGACTCACGTGCTTCGCCGCAGCGCTTTGCTTTGACTGACAAGCCAAGCTAGGAGGAAACCCCACACCCAGCACAGCACTAAGCTTCACGTTGCACAAGAGAACAAGAACGTGATGCTGAAGCAACATGCCTCCCTCAAAGCACAGCCCCGTACCGTTGAGCTTTATAGCGAGGCCTCGAGAGCAAGCAAATACGAAAGAAACCAGATGGGGAGAAGATACCACCCCAAATCCAAGGTCAGAAGAAAGTCACCCCAACTCGACAGGAGAAGAATCACTCAGGGCTACAAAATCAAGTCAGTCGGCAAAGGGATCGGTGTCCAGTTACAAGTATGCCCGAGCAGCTGAAAGGCTGAGTAGCCCCTTCTTTATTCTACTAGAAAAACGGAGCCAACATACGAGTTACGTATTTACTCTTACAGCGTTTTAATTATTTCCTGCACAGAGCGGGAATTTTTGGTCGCCTTGCCTTTTAATAGAGGCAAGACTGCTATTCCACTACCATCTGGCACGGCGATGCCAGATCAGTAGAAACACACGTAGCAGCCAGTATCGTGTCCTGTGAGCAGTCAACTGCCAACTACGTGCCAACCGTGCAGCACGCGCAATCTAAAGCGGCAAAGCTGAGAAGCCCTAGGTTATGTTCAAAGAGACAAGAACCCAGGGAAAAACTTAACAGTCCCTTTCTAGAAATACTGTGCTCCGAGTGTCATTAAAAGGAGCAACCTGCCAAAACAATCCGTTTCATATAGTAGTAGAGAGAGACAGTTCTGCAGACGTTTTGCTGAGTTACTGCTCTGCACGTGTCAGAACAAAGTAGGAAACAGTCACATCAGTACGTTGCACCCAAATAATATTTATTCCTGAACTTTACTTTGGGCAACGTACTGTGGTACTTTTACCTAAGACTTTCTTCTGGTTTTTTTTTTTTTTTTTAAATGGAAATAATAGCTACCTTGCAGAAATACCAAATCCTGGCTAGAAACTCACAGTGAAAATTAGTATGTAGGAAGTCTTTGTGGCTGTTTATTAGTACCGAAGCATTAATAAAGATCAGCAAGGAATAAACTACATTGTAGATCTGGACATCTACTGGCTACCAAAAAGGCACTGAAGTGGCAGAAGTCGATCTCTAAACCTAAACTAATAATTTTAGCTCAGATCAAATATGAAGTAGCCCCTTGTTTTCCTTAATGCTGCTCTAGAAGTCAAGTACATCAGGAAGCTCCTGAGAACAGGCAAAAACGATTCCTTATTACTGTTATTTGGCCTTCTTCAGTAAAATAATTTCAGCCACGGCCAGAAACACTGCACTGTAAGTATCGAAGTCAGATTTTTTCAAGACGTCACTCAAGACGTGGCATAAATTCCTATTATACCACTAAAGCAGAGGAAAGGAGGGCAGCTGAGCCAGCTCTGGATGCTCACCCGAGTCAGAACGTGGGAAAAGGCAAAAAAACAAGGCCAGCAAAGAAAGAATCGAGTGGCAACGACTCCAGCGAGCAGGAAAGCAGACACCAGCATGGCCATTACTGAGTCTCCACACCTCCCCGTGCTCTGCACTCACCTGTCTCCACCAGAGCTGTAGTGTCCTCCTTGCATCGTGTCCGTATCTAGGTGCGACACCATGTCTAAGCGCTGGTTCATTTTCGCTATGACAGCGTCGGCATTGCCACCACCGGAGGCATCGGGGTTCATGTCAACGTCCGAATTGGCCATTTCCCAGGAGTTGGAAGTTGCCATGCCGTAGCCATAACTGCCCGAGTTATCCTGACCATATCCATAGCCATAATTGTATCCCTCATAACCTGGAATGAAAGAGAGTTGTTCTTATTTCCTATTATACGGCTTAGCTAATGTTTTAATCCGAATTTAGAGGCAAAAATCTCCCTGCCCCAAGCAGTCATCACAGCAAGGGGAATTAAAACAAGTGTGAACTGCTTAAGTCACCAGCATATTTTTAACTGTGGGGACCACTAAGGTTTAAGAGAACAATTTGCTTGTAGAAACCCCATCAAACACAGCAACAATCTATAGTTTTCTCTCTGCCAAAGCATACTTCCATCCAAACAAACCCTCGGACCGGATCTCCACTGCCCTTCTTACAGCAAGAAAACTAGGAGTTGTTCCAGCCACGGGAGACTCATCAGCTAAGTGGCCCTCTCTCACTCTGCCACAAAGATTAAACAGCTGAAACAGCTCTGGAAAATTTTAAGTTGTTTTTGAATTTCAGGAGGCTGAGAAGTACCAAGCCTGCAGGCAGGGCAGTCTAAAAGCTTTGCTGTCACTGCTGGTTGCACCTCAACGCACCTTGTTTCTTCAGAGCAACCATCCTCCTCCTCACCCATCTCCCTCCGCCTCAACCCAGCAGGCTACAAACCGTTCAGCGGAAGGCGCGTGCTAGCGAGCACCGAATGAAAAAGGACTTTCGGGCTAGTGTTGATTTCAAGTGTTTTATAAGAAAAAACAATAGAGAGGTTTCCGTTCTTGCTGAAGAAATCAAAGTGTTACAAATGGGGGGGGAAACATTGTAGCAACACTACACAAAAGCCTTAGCAAACTTCTGGTTGGTTAAGAAGTAGCCTTTTCTTTTCCTCCTCCTTTACTTGGCTGCTTGCATGTGTGGAGAGGTACGTGCATAGATTATTCTTCTGTAGACCACCTTCTGATGTCTCCCTGACCCTGGATTGTACAGCACAAATTGCTACTAGCTTCACTCAGGTTTCCCAAGTGGCAGAAGTTGGGTTTTTCGGGGGTTGGGGTGGGGGGGGAAAAGGAGAGATAATACAGCATGTGCCTGCTAGAACAGGTTTTCTGTGCGACAAGTGTCAGTTGCAGGGGTGAAGGAAGCTGTGCCGTTTCCTTCGACAAAAAGGATTTTAAAATAAAAGCGAGCAGTTGCACAGGCAGAACAGTAAGAGGCTGCACAGCCTCTGCGCTGCATCGGAGACAAGGATGGTTCATCACTGACCTCAGCAGATCTCCCTCAGGCTCAGGAAACGCATCTGAGCTGCGAAGTGGAAGCTAACGAATCAGTCCGACAGAAAATTACTCAAGTTTTTAAGTGTACTTGCCTCGGTTCGTCCCAGAGTTCCAGTCTCCATAACCTAGAAAGAGACCAAAAAAAAAAAAAAAAGCTATCAGAGCCAAGCTTAGTGCAATCTCAACATTTGTAGCTGAAGAGATTCCTCTGCTACCCAGCATCTAAAGTCAGCAACACCCTCTAGAGTCCAAGAGGGTCACACCGAACAGTCGAACAGAGCAGGCCGTAACATCGCCCCAGCAACGACAAAAGCAGGACGCGTCACCAGAAGAGCGGCATCCTCGCCCAGCTTCTGAAAAAAGACAGGATTTTACTTTGTGAAGTTCCTGGCATCAAGGGCCGCAAACACCCATCCTGGGGGAGAACAATTTCTGCACCTACAGGAAAAACAGCGGGAAGAGCAACCATTTCACCAGGGAGCTGAGCTTTAGACAAACGCACAGCTTGACCTTGGCCAGGAAAGGAAGGAACCACCGGAGACTCGACGTGCCACAATCCAGCCTTCAACTGACACACATCCTTCACTTCTCGTACCCTCACCGGGCGCTTTTTGTCACACACGTTCCTCTAAGGTCCCACCTGCGACCAGTCAGACTGGGGCCAAACGCATGTTTGCGATCACTTCCAAAGTACGCTTGGCTCCAGCGACTTTCAGTGATGGCTTTTGAAGCGGTTCAAAAAAAGACACTAGATGCCTTTTGGTGCACTCATACCGCACGTGCCCTCCTCTTCCAGCGCCACTGCTACCAACATGAGTTCCACCACCGAGCACTTTGCGAGCGCAAGTCACGCATTCAGGAGGGCGAGAGAGAGCTCGCATCCCTCAGAAGAAAACCGCTCCGATGAGTGGCTAAGGAGAGGGGACAGAACTCATCAAGAAAGTTGTAAGCTCTTCCCATCGTATCCTAGCTTGGAGTCTCCTGGAGCTGACATTCAGCTGCCCTCGGAGGCAAACAATTTCTTGGTGGGCTCTGCCTCTTTGCCCTTGCAGGAAGCCAGCTGAAAGATGAAGAGACCGGGACGGAAAGACGTCTCCGAGTATCCACAACTGCACGAGGCTGTAGACAAGGCAATCCCATCCCATGCTCTCCGTGATTTGAGGACACTTAAATTCAAGTCTAGACACCATCATCCCAACATTCATTTCGAAACAAGTACGGTTTTGCAAACCGGAGTAACACAAGCACATCATTTCTGCTCACACGAATCCAAACACGCACTACTGCCCTTCGGGAAAGCGATTTTGCTTTGTAGATATTTGTGGTTATCTTTCCCTCCCCAAAATGGAAACTCCCCTTCTCAGAAGGCGGCTATTTTTCTTTGCCTTCGCTGTTAGGGATGTTGGGCTACAGTAAAAGCCACTCTGAGGAGAAATAGAGTTTATAGGGAACATAGCAGGGAGTGCTTTCATACACGGCAAAGCTTTGCCTGCACACACTACTACTTATTACTCCACAGGTGAGCCCAGACGCTGCTCCAAGAGCCAGCAAAAAGAAAGAATAAGCAGGTAAGAAATAAAAAGAGAAGCAGCAGACGCACCACTAACTCAAATTAAATTAGAAAAGAGAGTTAAGGATGTAACCTGATTGCTAATGAGAAGCTCCTCTCAATCAGAAGCAGCTAGATTAAGGAAAGAAAATAATCACAGAGAAGCTAATTAAACCAGACGACGGCGATGCCACGTTTTCGATTAAGCAGGAGAGCGTCGCTCGGTGCCGGCTCCTGCCCCGAACGCTTCTCTGCGGAGCGGTCGCGCCGTCGCTCGGCTCCCAGCTCCGCCGGGGTC